CATGTCGTGCATCCTCTGCAAACTTCGGTGCCAGAGTCCTCAGCTCCCCTGCCATGTTTGTTCAATCTGTCATGTGGGATGCAATGAACAGGAAACCAAATGGTGGCTTAAACATAAAAATATGCTTATACAATAAGTCTGCAGAGTGATGTTCCAAACTCAGGGCAGTGGCTCAACAGTTTCATCCAGAAATGGGGTGATATTTTTTCCACTCTGCCTGTCTCAGCATGTGTTTTTGTCTTCATGCTTGTCATTTTGCAATGGCAAGATGGCGGCCTCACTTCCAGGAATTACACACTTAGCCTGCTTCCTGAGAAGGAAAAGGAAAAGGCCAAAAGAGCACCTCCTTTTTTTAAAGATTTATTTATTTGTGCATACAGAACTGGGGTACAGGCCAGAGGCTCAGGGGCGGTGAGAGGCTTCACCAGAGACAGAGTGGGGAACAGAACAGGCAGATCTATGAAGTACACTGCTGAGGGGAGCAGCGGGCGGGTCAGGAGAGGTCTGGCTCGCTATGTGGTCACCTCCGGGGCAGGCGGGAGTCGAACTCATGCGGAAGCGGCTTTAGCTTCTCAGTGCTGTGCTTTAACCTGCTGCGCCACCAGGGAGGGCCAAGAGCACCTCCTTTTGCACTCTGTTTTTTTCAGTAGTACAGAAAATTATTCCTAGCAGGTCTCTCCTTCTATCTCTCTAGCCAGAAGTGGCTATCTCCTGCTGTAAGACCGGGGAGTACCAGGCACACATAAATGCTCTTACTCTGATTTACTTAAAGCATCATGGTGCATGTCCTGGGTCTGGGCATATTGCTGCCCTTAACAAAATCAGAGTCTGCTTATTAAGGTAGGCAGAGACTATGACAGTGAATAGAATTTGCTCTAGTGCATTTCTCTGATGCTTTTTCAGTTTTCTACAATCCTGAAAGGCACTTTTCACCTCTGGTATCCTAAAGCTCATCTATGGAATCCAGCCCTGGGGAGGAGAAATGGAAAAGGGCAGCTGGCAGGATATAGCTGAGGTGTCATGTCTGACTGGCATGAACTTGAGTTCGCGTCCTATTCTGATGATATCACTCACGGAAGTATTAGGAGATTACAAAACTGATTCGGTCTATTCACGCTCACAGGAGGCTGATTTGGAAGCTCTAATCTGTATATTTAAAGTGGAACATCTATTCAAATGAGAACTCAGCAGTTATCTGCCCTGTTTCTAAACAGACCCAAGATACTCTGAGTATCAGTGCCAGCAGTAGGCTACAAATCAATCTCAGGCTCCTTGTTGATTCTGCAAGGGAGAAGCCAGAAGACCTCTGCTTCCAGTCTGCAGTTCCTGTGAGTCTCTAACACTCCTTCACTCTAGGAGCGAAAGGTGAGCACTTAAAGAACTAGCTTAGCCAGGCTCCCTCAAGAGCAAAGAACACCCAGGGAACAGTATTCCTAGTCAGATATTTTCTAGATTGCTGAGACAATCCAGACTTTTCCCTTTTGTTCTACCCTTTCCCCTCATAGCTACATTGTAACATGTGTCAGTACTACAGTATCTTTTATGGCTTTATAGTCCAAAGTGGATGGATAAAACAAACCTTATTTAACCATTAATCAGTTGACTGATACTTGGATTGTTTTTACTTTTGGAGTATTATGAATAATGCTGTTATGAATACTCATGTGTAAGTTTTTGTATGGATATGCTTTCATTGCTCTTGGTTTTATCCCTAGGAATGAAATTGTTGGATCATATGGTAATCTGTATATAATTTACTAAGGAACTGTCAATCTGTTTCCCAAAGCAATTTTAGTATTTTAAATTCCCAGTACGAGGATTCCAATTTTTTTCCACATCCTCCCCTTGTTATTATTTGCAGCATGAGTTCTATCCCCAGCCAGGGATCTGACCCACATGGTATGTCAGACCTCTCCTGTCACACCCACTGCTCTTCTCAGCAGTGTATTTCAGTCAATCTGCCTGTTCTGCTCCCCATTCTGTTTTTGGTTAATCCTCTCACCCCTCTGATCTGTACCCAAGTTCTTGTATGCATAAATAAATAAATCTTTTTTTAAAAAAACATAACCTACAAAATATCTTTATTTTACTTGAAATGTAAAAATCCATTCAAATAAACATGTAATTGGAAGCACTACATAATTTCATTAATGGAGATGTTATCAGCAAAGTGAAGGACAAGACAACATATAGTAAGAAGGGCTGTCTAAAAGCAAAATTCTATCACTTAGGTTAGTAATTTTCCAATCCTCTGAAATGAAAAGGTGGAGTTATATGGCGATCTGAGAATTCAATGTCCAATTAATATACATTGATTAAAGAACATAGATTATATGTGATATTTTTATAAGGAAACTTGGCCAGCAAAAGTTAAGTCTAATGAATGAAACCAAAACAGGAAGTCAGATTTACTTTAGAATAAGTAAAAATTGTCAATATTGACATAGTGCAATCCCCAAACATTATATATTTAGCTGTGTGTGTGTCTGTGTAGATAGTAGTTCCCACATTTTCACAGTATTTCACAAAATGGGTTGTGCTTCAAATGTTTGCAAAACAATAGGTTCCACAAAGGTGTAGCATACTTTTTTAGTTGCTTGTTCAGATCCATTCGCCACTTCTTCCCACATTTAATATTAATTTTATTTGGTACAGCAACATGTCTAGGTCTACAGCAATGGATTTACTGGCCTAAACTAATCACTTAGTCCTGTTTTCTGCTCTCTCAGGCTCCCTTGCAGCTACAGGTGATAAAATCAATGGATAGTACACAGAAGTCTCTTCTTTCCAGAAGTATCTCTAGGGATTACTTTTCAGGAGTACCTGGTTTAGGATTATTCCCTAGGCTAACTTAATTACATATTAGATTGATGAATACATTTCTTGACCTATCATGCAAGATGTATTCTATCTTTTAGGCATTCTTCCCATAAAGCATTTACTCTCAATAAATAAGAGCCAATGTATTCATACATTGCCCTACTTTGCCCTATTTTTGGAAGGGATTTAAAATGAAGGGAAAATCTATTAGTCAAGGAAGAATGTGTTTATTAAATTCCTGTTTACTATGAGCCTAGAGAATCTGGGAATTCATATTTTCTAAGTATCTAAAATATAACATTTGCTGTTCAAAGTTTAAAAAAAAAAAGCTAAATCCAGTAATTCAGCTATAATCTCAATTCTGTGTACTCTCAACCAGTTTACCTGAGGTGCTTTAAAAAGGAAAATACAGCATTTCCATCCATTGCATTCCCCTTCTGATTTGAATCTGGAAGTGGATCAGGCAGATGTAATTTTTAAAGTCCTATCAGTGATTCTCACAGGCAACCAAGATTGATATGCTGTGAATTACAAATAACAGAATTTGTGACTCTTCAAGGTACTTAGATGAAGAAGGCGGAGTAGCATGGTGGAAACAAAGCTGTTACAGCTTTTAGGGGTCTTGGTTTTGGAACACAGCAGCTAGATGTCTTTGGGCAGACAAAACTCTTTGAGCCTTACTGTATCACTCAGAGACATAAGTTTGTTTTTCTTTTTTTTTTTTTTTAAAGATTTATTTGTTTGTGCATACAGAACTGGGGTACAGGCCAGAGGCTCAGGGGCGGTGAGAGGCTTCACCAGGATAGAGTGGGGAGCAGAACAGGCAGATCTATGAAGTACACTACTGAGGGAAGCAGCGGGCGGGTCAGGAGAAGTCTGGCTCGCCATGTGGTCTCCTCCGGGGCAGGCGGCAGGCGGGAATAGAACTCATCAGGAAGTGGCTTCAGATTCTCAGTGCTGTGCTTTAACCCGCTGCGCCACCACGGAGGGCCCAGAGACATAAGTTTGTTACCGAGGTAAACAACAAATGTTTAAAAAACACATAGAAAATTATTGAGCCTAAAAACTTTTAAGATAGTATTTAAAGTTGTTTTCTCTTCATGGAGTATGCTTTCCCTTCCTTGTAGTTAGATATACTGAGATTTCCTTGTCCCAACCACAGAGAATTGTTACCTTATCTGAGTTTCTGCAGCACGATCTACCTTAGACTGACCCCCCTAAACTGACAACCCCAGCCTCACCTCACTGGTAAAGTCTACACTATAGTATCAGAAAGTTATTCTTCTCAGTATTTCCTGGCCCAAAGTGGGATGACCTCAAGTGGCGATCACCTTATTGTTAAAGACAGAAAGAACCAAGTTGCCCATTTCTTCGTTTTCAAAAGTTTATTTTTTTTTTCCTTCCGTGTACCCTTACCTGTCAATTCTAACATAAAAAGAGAAGGGAGGAGGCTAAACTCTGTTCTAGTAACCATAAGATAAGGACAGTATCCGCCCTTACACATAATAGGTGCCTGGCTGCCCACTGGAAGACAATTAATTCTCTCAACCGTCTTACAAAATATACACTACTATCACCCTCTTTAGAGAGAACCGAGGAACAAAAACTTAAGAATCTGCTCAAGTAGGTCCCGATGCCAGGAGACGGAGCCAGTATTCCCATACCGATCACACTCCAGGATATATTATCTGGGGATATTTGATGATTTTCTTTTCTACTGTGGCTCAGGCACAAGCAACCCTGAGTTCGTCGGTCCTCGCAGGTGACAGAAAACAGTAAAGCTGAAACTGATGAGACGCGAAGGTGGAGACCTCGCCACGGGAACCATCTCATCCCTGCGCTTGGATCCCTAAAAACAGACTCCCAAATAACTTTAAATATCCCGCGGGCAATATTCAGCCAGGTCCCGCCTCTCACACCGCGGTACAGGTAGCCGACCGGAGCATGCCAATCAACCTCGGGAACAAGAGGCTGGGGCCCCAGTTGCCATTGGTCTTTTCTTTCCGATGACATAGCTGTTTTTTTTTCGAGAGTAGCCTCGCTTTTCCTGAAAGCACCTTCGGCTTCCTAGCGTCTGCACACTAACAGCAGCCACAGGCGCTCACAAGACGTCCAGCCACAGCTCTTGCCCGCAGCACCCCGCCTGCCGGATGTGACGGACAGGAAGTGACTGCCTTCCACAGGGGGCGGGGAGGAAAGATGGCGGCGCCCTGTAGCCGGTGAGGAGAGAGGACACGGGCATCCCGGGGAGCGGCCAGACTCGTGCAGTATGGCCTCATCCCCGCATACTCTCTCCTCACGCCTCCTGACAGGTACCGCTCTAGCCCTCGGGCACTGCTCTGGGGAAATTCTATTCTTTTTACCACTAGCGAAGCTGTGGTTCCGGCTAGCTGCAACCTTGGGAGCCCTTGGCGAGGTCGGCTAGGCATGGGTGGGGGAAGTGACTTTTGTAGTAGCCTAGTGGGGAAGCCTTTGAGCCACAGTCGAATTTTGCCCTGTGCCTTCGGGGGTAGGAATCTGCTTCGTCTTTCTGTGTTACGAGAAAAGAGACGGAAGGATCAGAGCCGACAGTGTAGATGTTAGGGTTCCGGGAACCTGTTGGCTTATTAAAGTCTCAGTTCCTAGTCTGTAGTTTGTATAGACAAAGGAAGCGCTTTACTCCCCACTTCCGCCCTCCCTCCCAAACCTTGTTCTAATAAAAAGGGTTGTGATGACAACGATGAGAATGACATTGATAACAACTACAGACAGCTGGCTATAGCCCCTCATCAAACGTTGACTTTCTGCAATCAGCATGGTCCCTGATAAAATACTACTTGAAGGTTCTATAATAACTGTATGTTGAAGCCAGAACGCATTTATTTGGCCCTTAGCACAACCTCAGCTCCAATGTCACCTTTTCAGATAGGATGCCCACTCTATCTTTTCTCACATCACCCTATTTCTTAGGTCAATGTTAACACAGTTTATAGTTATTTATCTAGCATTTTGTTATGTGTTTCTCCCAAATAGAATAAGAACTTACATAAGGTGAGGACAGTGACTCTTGTTCACTTGTGTCCCCAGTCCCTAAAACAGTATCTGGTATGCTTTGTAGACTTTCAATGATTATAAATTAATGAAATTTGGCCTAGTGAACATAATGGAGAAATGGTTGGGAATATTTTGCCCTTAATAGTTTAGAATGATAACTAAGGGCTGCTGGTGGAGAAATATGTTTTGCCCATATGCGTGGTCCATATTAGAGATGCAGAGAAGCTAGGGATTCCTTTTTGGCCAAACCCCACAAGCTCTCTGTACTCCCTGGCAATGTTGAACACTGAGACTATGAAATTCCGTCCTCATAATATGGTTATCTAAGGAGTTTCTTCTGGTATGTGTGATCTCAAGGACTTGAGTTTATTCATCTATATAATGAGACAAGTGAACTACAAAATCTGAAAGGTCCCTTTTGGTTCAAAAGTGAGGAAGAGGCTGAAAAGTGAGTGGAAGCATAAGTTAAAAAAATTGGGGGTCTGCTTTATACTGTTTTCATTGCCACTGTACTGTATATCTGACCCAGTTAATCTTGAGAGGTATTTCCCAAAGTGGTACTTTCTCTCCCAGCAATGTACTTTTCTTATTGCACCAAATATATTTCTTCTTGAAAAGATCTATGTAATCTGTCTAGCATTTAATGTAATAAAGGCATAATCACCCTGAAATTAACACTCTCCCTAGCTTTTGCCGAAAAATCACACTGTTTTAAATAGAGAGTGGGACTCGCGAGTAGCTCATTTCAGTGTTCTGGTCCATCACTGTGATTGGCTTTGGTTTAGGTAGCATAGTCATTACATGGAAGTGATTCATCAATTTAACATTTTTCCCTTCTCTCTTACAGGTTGGATGGGAGGATGTGTCTGGTATCTGGAAAGGAGAGCCGTGCAGGAATCCCCTCATAAATTTATGCATCTTTTCAGGAGCACCAATAAGCAGTGGGTGACATTTCAGCACTTTAACTTCCTCAAGCGCATGGTATGTTCCAAAGATCATCTTTACTCTGGTGCTACTATCTGTACTTTCTTTGTATAATAGAAATTCCAAAATTCTGTTATTCGAAGAGTTATAAGGAGTACTGTTTAAAAAGACTTTTATTTAGTCATATTAAATTTATCCAAAACTTTAATCCTTCCCTTTATTTTTCATAATTGAAACCAGATTCTAGCATTTGAAGTTAAAAATATGATCCTGAATGTATTGATTAAGTCTGGAGAAAGACTGAAAAGTTCTGGCACATTTCCACTAAGCTAAAATTAGGGAAGGCTAAACTGTTACACATCTTTTAAAAGTGCTTAAAGCGGCCCTCCCTGGTGGCACAGCGGGTTAAAGCACAGCACTAAGAAGCTAACGCCACTTCCGCATGAGTTCCATCCTGCCAGCCCCGGAGGTGACCACATGGTGCGGCAGCCCACCCACTGCTCCCCTCAGCAGTGTACTTCGTAGATCTGCCTGTTCTGTTCCCCACTCTGTCTCTTGTAAATGCTCACATCCTCCGCATCTCTGGCCTGTACCCCAGTTCTGTGTGAATCTTAAAAAAAAAAAAAAAAGTCCTTAAAGCTCAGTGAATAACACATTAGTAATAGAGATTTATTTAATGGTGTGGCTTTTCTTATAGTAGCAGTGCACTTAAATGTCTTTTAACCATATGCACTTTTGAGTAGATTTATTAATAGCTTCTCTGATTTGCTAGGCAGTTTATAATTGGCATTGATAATACATCTTGGTCCTCTTGTCAATCTTTAGGTGAGTTGATATTGCTGGTAGCTTTTAATTTTCAATAAGGGCATTTGCCTATTTTCTCTAATAGAAAAGGGCTTATAAAATGGAGAAATGATAGCTGGAAATTCATAATTATAATGTAACCATGAAATAACAAATTCATAATCTAAATTTGTAACTGATATTTCTCATCTCTTTTTAAGACTTAAAACTTTGATAAGGCTCATTATCTTAATAAGAAATTTAAATTTACAGAAATGTTGACTTTTTGGTTGAGGACTATGGATAACGGATGTTTAGAAGAGAAAGTTAAGTATTTGTCACGCTCTTTTTGTGTAAATAGAACTCAGAATTCATTCATGAGTTAGTAATTCTTTTCTAAGACTAGTATGTAGATTCAAGCCTTTGTGGTATAATGGGAATGTCACTGATGTAGTTATCAGAAAGGCGGCTATAAATCCCAAGGCAACCTCTAGCCAACCATTGTTGACTCTGGACTTGTCGGTTTATTTCTGTGCACTGGTTTTTTCCTCCTTTGTAAATTAATCAAAGAAATATTATAATGATCCATATTCTTTAACAATTGCTGAAATTAAAAGAAGTCTGCATTACATAAGCTATAAAATATATATTATAGGCTATAAGATGCCTCACAAATGTTAGTAGAATTTACTACTTTTGGCTACTAAGCAATAGAGACTGTCAGACTGTAAAGCCCACGTTCTCTCCACAGATGCTCTGCTATAACATCACTTAGTCCTGGATTTTGCCTGGCCACTGATCCCCTCTCTGTACTGTTTGCATAGAACATGGGAAGTCAACAGGTTGACTTGGGCTCTTTATTATAGAACGCTTTTGTTATTGTATATGTAACAGTAAGCATCTAGTTCCTAATAATATATTGGGGAACATTCTGGTGGAGATGAATAAGAAATAAATTTATTCCCATTGGAACTTAAAATCCTACGATTTTCTAGCCACCAAGTATGACAACCGTTGCTGAAATATTAACTATATTCTCCATATCTCTTAGCAAACATGTAGCAAACACACTAATATTAGTTAATTCAGGAAGTAAAGTTATAGGAAAATCTCTCAAGTAAAAACTGGGCTAATGGGAGGTGTTACTAAACATCCATGACAAGCATTTTGGGCCCTGGTTGTATGGTAATGTGCACTTTTTAAATTTAGTATGCCACACAGCTGAACAGAAGTCTCAACCAACAAGTAAAACCGAAGCCAGAACCAGTGACATCTCCTTTCCTTGAAAAAACATCTTCAGGTCAAGCCAAAGCAGAAATATATGAGATGAGATCTCTTTCGCCCGCCAGCCTGTCTTTATCCAGAGAGCCAAATAAAAAAGAAGTGATAGAACTAGAATCTGCCTCAATAATTGAAGATTCAGTTGATGTGGAGAAACAGACAAGAGATGAAAAGCAGTGGAAAGAGATGAAGCTGCACATGGATGACTTGCCAGGAATTTTGGCTCGCCTGTCCAAAATCAAACTCACAGGTACTTGGCTTTTCTGGTTAAACTGTTTTGTTTACTGATGCAAAAGGAATATTTTGAAACTTCGGAAGCTGTCAGTATTTTTCCTTTCTTCACTGGAAGTCAAAATAAAATTTTCTAGATTCTATTTACACTGAATTATAAATAGTGTTATATAAAATATGTTGTACTAGAAAGTTTCTCCTTTAATTACAATTGATGTAGAATGTTTATCCTGTTTACCTCCTTGCCTTTTGTGTTTTTATACCTGCTCTCATTTTGAAGATGTAGTAAGAGAATCAATTCTGCGTGTTTGAGCTCTGGAAGCAGGAAGGGTTGCACTGCTTTGCTTGGCATGCAGGGAACCTGGCCTCTGGAACTCCCAGCTCACTGCAGGGTCTCTGGAGTGTACAGTGCTTCTCTGAAAAGAGCTGTGGGGCCAGAATTTTGACCTAATTGCAAACTGTACCAAATTTTAGTGAGTGCATTTAAGTATTGATCCATCGTTCTATCATTGGGTTGTACCTGACCACCCTATGAGTCAACAACAGCTGCAGTATCACCCCATCTCATAACCAAACCTTGAAATAGCTTATTCTGGACTTTCCTAGTTAGAAAGTCTGTTCTAGAAGATCGAATTTGTCCTTTCCTTCTTGAGTGAGAATAGGGAGAAGAAATATAATGGTTAAATGATAAAGATCCCGACTATGATATTTACTGGTTAGACTTAAGGCAGCTTCTTAAATGTGTAGACACAGTTTCCTCATTGGAAGGGGGAATAAAAATATGTCACTTAAGATTTAGATCACTTAGTGCATTTAAAGTACTCAGCTGCATGCTTGGCACGTGGGAAAGTCTCAAAGGTGAGTGTCGCACTAATTACAGGTAAACACCTGATTTCTTCTTAATATATCTATTCCCTAAGATTTTGATGGCAGATGCATATAGGGCTTTTTAGTACTTCTAGTAGTCTGGGTACAGTGCTTCTCACTTGCTAGGTAATAGCTTTGAGGAGGGAAATTGGAAAGCTGAAGTCCTCTAGAAGAATCACTACAAGGAAGGAGGGAATTGGAAATCTTGTTACCTGCGGAATGAGGTGGTTTTGCTTGGAAAAGAAAAGAGAGGAGAGAGATGGTGAGGAGAATGAAAACATAATAGCCATCTTCAAATATCTGTAGTTTGTTGACTTAACTGTTGTTGGTATGTGGCCTGGAGGGCAGAGCTGGGAGGGTGTGTGTACTAGCAGTGTGGCAGGTCCTCTCAGTATGAAGCAGGGTCTTTAGGAGATGCTGTTGTAGCAAAGGTGACTGAAGGAGAGCCCCTAGTATCAAGCAACCAAAAAACATTGTGGAAATAAATGGAAGCCATTTGTGTTCAGAAGTGACATAAAAAGGGGTATACAGTGATAGAGTTGAAGGAGACTGAAAGTTTGACAGGCAGAGAACTGAGGCAAGACACTGAGAGCAAGCATGTGAATTGGACTGACTGCCTTATAAGGCAAAGTTTTTGTCATTGGAACTGTCCAAGTGGGAACAGATCATCTTTGAGGGAAGTTGGAAGGGATCCTGTGTTATATAGTGGAGCTAGATAATGACTCCTAATTCCCTTTTTCATACTGAGAGCTGCCTGCATTCAGTATTAATTGTAGTCAGTATTAATTGTAGTGTCTACAGTGTACTCATTTGTGCTAGCTGGTGGAGTTACAGAGATAACTCACACATAATTTTGTCCTCAAGAAGTTGATGGTTGGGGGAGGGGGGCTCTGTGTCATTCCTTGGCATTTAATATTTTTGCTAGCTAGTATAAATAGGGACTTTTTTCTTTTTGTAACTGAGATAACTTTTTACCACACTGTATATATTTTAGTGGTATAGACTCACATTTCCTCACATATGTTATCATGCCATGTCTACCGTGTCCACCAAAGAGTGGAGAGAATTTATACACATACATATATGTACAAACAAAATAGCTAGTCTAATACATTTGTGTTTCAACCCAGAGCGCTTTCTTCATACCTGTGTGATCATTGGCAATTTGTTTAGCCTTAGTTTTTTTACCTTTAAAATAGAGAGGATGGTATATTTCACAATCTCATTATGATGATTAATGAGATAATGCATGTAAAACACCTGGATGCTCAGTACTTCCTAGTGGGCACCTAATTGACTATTATTAATGCTATTATAACTATTACTATACCCATCATTAAGGAAATTAATGTTGCAAATATTGTGACAGATGTGTGTATACGGTGGAGTGGGGACCCAGAGAAGGGAATGTTATTTCAGCCTGTAGAGGGATTAAAGTGAATGCATATTTAGTAGGCAGCAAGGGTAAGGATTGTAAGCAGAGAGAAGCCTTAGCATAAAGAAGCCATCCTGGCCTATTCAGTATGCTATGGTTAACGCAAGGTGTATTACATAGGAGACTCACTGAGGCTGAAGAACTGGGTAGGACCACATAATCCTATTGGCATATATTTTATGCTTAAGAGTTTCACTGTTATATCCCACAGCCAAAAGTGATGGAGAGTTCTCTGGAAGAACATGCTTTGTGTTTTGTTTAACTTAATCTCATACAAGGCTTCTAATTACTACTAAGTTTAAACTTACTGTAAAAAAATTCAAATAATACAGAAGCATATATCTTAAAATGAGAGAGTACTCATTCTTTCTGTTCTAGATAAAAGCCTTGTTTGAAATGTAGCCTTCTATATATAACAAATATGCAGGTATAGATGTGGTTATTCATTTTAATAGAAATAGAATCATTGTATATAAACACACACAATTCTGCAATTTGCCATATTCTCTCAACAGTGCAGCTTTTACTGACAATATTTACTTCACTGCATACTATTTCATTATAGGCAACTGCTGTTCTTAATTAATTTTCTACAGGTAAATATTTAGGACACTTCCAATTTTTTTACTATTAAGAGCAATTTTGTGCTTAACCTTTATGTACACACATCTTTGTATACTTATGAGTCATAGAATAAGTGTTTAGAAATGTTATTGCTAGCTTTAAACCTTTTCATTTTGATAGACTAGTTGCTTCCTTAAAAAGTGTAGTGTAATTTACACTGCTTCTAAGAGCATGTGGCAGTCAGACTTCTGTATTCTGTGATTGTACAGTCTCTAACAGATGTTCCTGTTGGATAACTGGAAAAGATTTCTGTGGGTGTTTTCATTTTTTAAGTTTTGGTGAGATTTAGCACCTTTTGGTTTCTATTTTGATCATTGCTGTTTTTCTTTTACTTCATGTCTTCAGTCATTTCTTAGTGAATTTTTTTTAGAGCTCTTTTAAGTAAAATTAGCATTTCTTCTGTCATATGCATCAAAATATTTTTTCTTTTCACTTTGTGATGTTTAATTTGTAATATTTTGTTGTTTGATTTTTCTGTACTCACTGAGATTTTTATCTTTTATGTATTCAAATTTATTAGTTCTTATGCTTGGAAAGATTTTTACCAATTGGTATTTATATCCAAAATTTATAAAAGCATTCACTCATATTTTTTTCTGGTACTTTTATATTTCTACTATATTCTCTAAGATCGGGGACTGTCTGGGATATATGTCAGTGTAAGGAATAAGGTTGATTAACAGAAGTGCTGTGGAATTGCTATTGAGCACAGGGTACCTGTTTTTGTAAATAAAGTTTTGTTGGAACACAGCTGCTTTTCCATGTTGGTATCATGTTGTATCAGCAAAATTGAGTAATTGCAGAAAAATTACAGCTTGGAAAGCTTTAACTTTTCTATCTGGTCCTTTATAAAGAAGTTTGATGACTTCGGGGCTAAAGAGCTTGGACCACAAATGATGTAGAAAAATGATGTCGACGGATCAGTGGCATGAGTTGATCATTGCATTAAAAATGAAGGTTTTTATTCGGGAAGGACTAGAGAGGAGAGAGAGATCAGGGAACAGTAAAGAAATAGAATAAACAGAACCTTAGGAAGATATGGCAGAGTGCTGGGAGCCATAAGAAATCTAGGATGTGGAGTTGCAGCATGGCTGCCTTTAATTGAAGCAAGTATTCTCTGGTGCTCTGCACACCGTGCTCCTACCCGGTCTCTGAGATGGAGCAGCCTGTAGTGACTGCTGGGCTGGTCTCCTCGCATATAAGGGCTTTTGCTAGCTGAATGACTTTGAGCAAGTTCCATAAACTGTGCCTCAGTTTACCATTTTCTATACTCAGGATAATAATAAAATAACTTAATAGGGTTGTTCTCAAGATCAAAAGAATTAACAGTTCATTAGACAGAAGTGATTGTGTCAAGAGTTATATACTTGTTTTTTAAATAATGAATAAATTTGTTAATGGGGGCACCCCTTCAAACAATTCAGTGCCGCCCCATGCCCTGGAAAAATTTCCTGCTTTCTGGGTACAGAATGGTGGTGATAAGTCATAAGAACATGGACACTGAAGAAAGAAAGAAAGTTTTAGGGCCCATGGAGTTTCAGTCTGTACCCGCATAGCTAGTAGAGACAGCCAGTGGGCACTTGACTTTGAAGGACAAGTGCCCAGATAGAGCCATGAGCTGAAGGAACTGAGGTCTTCCTGGCAGAGTTGGCCTGGAAGTCCCAGTAGCAAGTAAGGTTGCCAGCATTTGGCATGTAGAGTAACCATAGCAGAAGCCCAAGGCACACTAATATTTAAAGATTGGGTAAAGTATATAATAGAGACTGCAAGGGCGGAAAAAATGGTCAGAGGAAGAAAAACAGGAAACCAGGGAAGAATTGGTTCATGGAAGAAGTGATCGGTATTGTTAAGTGCTAGGTCTCTAGGAGCTAGAATAGGTCTGCTAAGAACACTGTTTAGTGCTCATCTGCCTGCCTAGAAAGGGTTATTTGGCAATTAGGAAGTCACTATTGACTGCTAAATCAGGAAATAAAAATCAGTTTCCTTTTCTTAGAGTCCTAAATGAACTACATTTAAATAATTTAAAATAATTTCATAATGCTTGCTCTTATGATGCTCATTTCTTGAGGGACAGAGGGAAAAGTATGGTAACT